CCGCGCCGAGGCTGCCACCCTGCAAATCTGCCCTTCCCCCCAAGGCAGGACAGCTTTCTAGAGGTCTTCTCCATCCCTACTCAGGGTCAGCTTCGAGTCTTAAAGAGGTGCGGGCCCCATGCCGCTGCTGACAAGGATGCGTTCACTCTGGTCCCTACTGATGGCTGACTGAACGCAGACTTTGCTGCAAAATGATGGCAGACACGGGGTGGGCCGTGCTTGAGCGTCACTGTGGGTCACTGCAAAGCCACCCCGGAAGCTTTCAGCTCCTAGCACAGGTGACGTGGGACAGCAGAAGGTGCCACAGGCAGAGCCCCGACAAGGCTAGCAGGGCTTGGAGAGGACATCAGGCCGGCCACCACAGTTCCCACCCCAGGTTCCCCCCCTCCCAGCCCCACGGGTACCTCCCGGCGCGTGGAGCGGATCAGGACCTTCAGGGTCCGGCCGATGTCCTTCTCGAGCTCCGCTTCCGCGACGCCCTGCACAGGGTGAGGGGGGAAGGACGCACGGTGGGTGACGCCAACCCTCCCCAGGGACCCAAACCCCCCCTGGGGCTGGACCCTGCCACCCACCAAGGCTCAGGGGGAGGCTGGGGATGGTTTTTTGGGGAGTTCAGCGCGGGAACAAGGTCTGGCAGGGGGACCACAACTGGACGATGCCCAGCCACGAGTTGGGGACCCCCGATGCGGGCACGTCCCCGTACCCCGGCGGGTTTTAAGCCCCAAAAGAGGGGCGGGGGACAAAAATCTTGGTCCTGGACTCACCGGCTCCTGGAAGTAGAACTGGTAATCAAAGGTGGGATAGGATCTCATCTTCTCCACGATGTCCACACCGGGGTCGGCGGGTCGGTACGGGGTGTTCAGCGAAGCCACAGCCCTGGGATATGGTGGATTGGGGGGGGACACACCGAGTCAGCGTCACCCCCAGATTTGGGGTGCCCAGGGTGAGCCAGGGTTCGGCTGCAGGGTGGGGAATCGGTCCCGGGGGACCGGAGGGACCCACCTCACCCTCTCGGGGTAGAACAGAGCCATGTTCAAGACCAAGGAACCGCCCCAGTCGTGGCCGACCCGCAAAGACAGCGGCCCTGCGGGGAGGGGGGGTTGGCGTCAGCCCACACCCCCCACCCTGCACCCCGAAAGCGGCGCCCGAGACGCCCTTCCCCTTCCTCCGCAGCAGCAAAGAGATCAGAAAACAGCAATATTTTCTCTTTTTTCCCCTTTTTTTTGTATTTTTTACCTTTTTTCCCCCCCAAGGAATGAGCGTCACCTGAATCCCCGGAGCAATTTGCTCCGACTTAATTAAATATTTCAA